ACCACAACATTTGGTGCGGACATTCGGCAGACATTCTTGTCCTGGAGGCGACCTTCGGGGCGGAACCTCAGGCTCTTGTTCCTGCTGAGGAGGTCGGGCGCGCTATCGCGACGACAAACCCGAGCAACCGCGACAGGTGTCCGACTATTGTGTTGTCGGCGCCTACCCTTAGGAGAGCGCTTGCGCCAGAGCGCGAAGTTAAAGGGGGACCACGCGCCCAAGGGCGTGAGGCGGTCGTAGAGGACCACTGCGACGAATGCGGCACCGACCTCACGGGTCTGGACCCATGTCTTCTGGGCTGTCCAATCATTGGCGAGCTGGGTCATGCTGACGAATGCGACGACGACGACCTCCACGGCAGCCTTGCCTCAGGCCTGCCCACGCGGTGGTTTCAGTGTTCGTCGGCCCCCGCATCCGATCGTCACTTAACGAGTGTTCAAACCTCGCGGTCCACCGAATCCGGCGGCGTTCACTTCCTCATCACCTACCCCGTCTCCGTCGACCACGGCGCGGGCAGCGTGGAGTTCTGCGGTGGGGAGGCGCGGACCATCCGAGTCGCTGTCCGCCTCCGCCTCAGGGCGGGTGCCAACTCCGAATCGGTCACGGGTTGTGACCTTAAAAGCGAAAGTCAGCAAACGACAGTGGAACGATGCATCCGACAGCACTGGCCCCTGGTGGCCATCATGGTTCCCGCCTGCCGGCCTTTCGGTTGCTGGGCCACCGCGCTTGGCTACGGTCCCACGAGGACGCAGCGCCTCGCGACCATTTCTGCCGCAACGTTGCGCTCTTGCGGCTGCAGCTCGACGGTTGATTCGTCAGTGAGCAGCCCGACCCATCGTGGCAATGCGCCGAGCCGCCTTGGCCAGGGACATTATCAGCACCAGGCGTGCATGAGGCCATCTTCCGACCATGGCCAACTGGGACATCGTATTTGTCACGGGGGTCTTTAAGCAAGACCGCCGGCTTTATCTCCGACGCCTCAGAAATCCTCGGCAGTTCGAGATCGTCAGAGCACCAGCAAGCGCGCGTGCACCTTGATGGCCAACGGCACCGACGCCCAGGTCTGGCCATGGAAGATGGCCGAACTGCTTGCCCAGGGCATCGTGGACCGACGCCGACACCTGAGACGACCGCATGCGGCGCATTAGGTTAATTCTTGTGAATGCCATGTCGATGCGGCAGCATTTCCAGCAGTGGCCTCAGGGGCCACGGAGGGCGAAATCAGGATTGCCAGGGTCGTGGGTGCGCGCGCTACTCGCGCGAGGCGCGCCGACGCAACGTGCGATCGGCTTCGCCCACGCATCCCAAGACCTGGCCACTTGCGGGCGCCCTCGCAGTGCCCCGACCTATGCCCTGGTTGCCGCGATGATAATGAACGCGACTATCCAGCGCGCGCCCAGCGGGCTCATCAAGTGTGGGTTCGCTGACACTAGCGCACGGCCGCTCCCGCGCACTGGCCAAGATCCAGTCGCGCCAGCGCGACCTGGAGGACCACGCCCAGACAGCGATAAGCAGGTTCAGCTACCTGGAGGAGCCAGGCGCGGAGCAACAGACGACGCAGCACTGCCGCCAGCACCGTCCTGTTCGCCATGGGCCAGCTCGTCCTCCAGCGCTGGGGCTCAAGGCAGCGGATTCGGCGACTGCGTTGCCCGCCCACGACTGCGGGCCAATCCAGCAGCTGCCGCGGCGCCGAGACGGGTGGCGCCGCGAGCTGCCGACGCTGCTGTAGTCAACCCATCGCCGTCGGACTGGGCTCGCGTCGACATCGCCACGCCCCTACGTGCGCTACGCGGCGACTCGCGCGAGGCGCGAATGCGTGAGCCGCGCGAGTTCAATATCTGGCGGCGGCGCGCCACTGAGACGGGGGTGGCGCGAGCGCTGGGTGCAGCCGCATGCCGCGGGCAATCTTGGGCCCCATTCTCGCAGTGGTCAACCGCTGCCGGGAATGCCCTAAGCGGCTGCCTCCGGCGCGCCAAACCATTCCCACATCGCGCCTTTCGACGCGATTCGACCAGCGCGTTGAATGCGACACCCTTTGCTACGAGGGTCGCATTATGCAGTGCCTGATCTGCTGCGCCTCAAGGTGGCGCGGCGGCCAGGGGGCCGCGGGCAGGTGCGACTCGACGTGGCTGGAAGCAGTCGGCAGGTCATGGATCCAGCTATCTGGGTCAATGGGGGCCCTCTTCGTGGGCGGTGAAGGCGGGGTGGCTGACCTCCAAGCACTTCGCGGGGGACGCGCGGGGGAGGGGGCCCCCGGCGGACCTTCGTGCTCCACGCCGGCGCGTTCGCTTAATAAGGCGACGCGGCGCAGTGCCGCGGCGCGCGCTACGCGCCACCGAGGGGCAGCTCAGCGCGAAGGCGCCGCCACCAGCTCCGACTCCACGCTGGCCCGCGCTATTTTTGCGGGCAACAGATTCACCCGTTTGGGCGGCCCTGCGCCATGCGATGTCGTGTCCTGCGGGCAACCCTCCGCGCTGCCACAGGTCGAGCAGACGGGAAGGGCGAGGGCGACTGCGCCGTGGGAGCCGGGCCCGCTGCGGGCGGCCATGTACAGTCCAGCCGGCTGCAGTGGCGCATCCGTGATATCTCCGTGCAGCCTATGATCGGGGCTTTCTTTCGACCGCCCACGTCAGTCGCGCCTTCCGGACGCGCGCCGCCGAGACTGGAGAAGGGCGCTCCAACGTGGGTGATCAGGTGGATACCCACCAGCTTCTTGGTGCGAAAGACGTGCCATGTTGGCCAGGTCTCGGTGCTGTCCTCTCTGTGGACCCGGCCAAAGGCAAGATGCCAGGCTAGAGCCGCAACGCGAAGATGGACTGCTGACTGCAGGGCGCACGTGCCTTCATCGGTGCCGTCTTCAAAGACGTGGGGGCCGGCATGGCGCGAGCAGGCCAGGCCGGGGAGTACTTCCTAGAGCGCATCGCGCTAGGCTCAGGAGCCAGGACGTTCGACCATTAGCCTGGCCGAGCAGGCTCGGCAACGCCCTGGCGTGCCCGATGCCCTGCGCCATTTGCCCCGCAGATGTTTCCAGCAACCAGACGTTCGTGCCGTGCGTCTCGTACGCGGTCAGCAACCTGTGGGCGACTGGCCGGGCTCCAACCGCAGTTAGGTCATCAGCTGGTTCCCTAGGGGCCCCAAGGCCGTGCGCCGCGTATATTCCACCATGTTGAGTGCACCGCGTTTGCACCACGTAGATAGCATCGCATTGATCGCACCACGTAAATCGCACCTCGCGACACGTAGATTGTACCACATATGGTACACAAAACAGGTTGCACCACATACGTTGCATACAATATACCACAACATGTGCCCTGCGAAAGTCCCAGCGATGTGCAGTTTTGCGTAACCGCGTTGTGAGTATTGTCGTCGGTGGAACTCTCTTTGGAGCCACGCAGCGTGTAAGGGATGTACTGTCCTGGGTGCGGTGGGCGCATGCGAACGCGTGTGAGCGGTGTGTCGAAATTTGCGGGGTGGTGACATGCGGGCGCAGCCATTGGGGCCCTCGGTGGAGCTCTATGGGGCCGCGACGTGTGAGTGGTGTGCCGACATGGGCGCGGTGGTGCCATGCGAACGCAACCACGGGGGCCGTCGGTGGAGTTCCCTGTGTGACCACGAAGCGTGTGAGGGTGTGCCGCCATGGGCGCAGCGGTTCCATGTGAGCGCAGCATGTGGGGCCTTCGGTGGAGCTCATTATGCGGCCACGAAAGGTGTGCCGAAATGGGAGCGGTAGTGCCATGCAAACGCAGCCACTGAGGCCTTTTGATCGAGCTCCCGATGAGGCCGCGAAGCGTCGGACAGGTGTGCCGAAACTGGCGCGGTTGTGCCATGCGGCCACAGCCATTGGGGCCCCCGGAGGAGCTCCCTATGTGGCCACGAGGCGTGTGAGGGTGTGCCGAAATTGCCGTGTTGGTGCCATGCGGGCGCAGCCAGGAACTCCCCATGGGGCCGCGACGCGTGTGAGGGGTGTGCCGAAATGGGCATGGTGGCGCCATGCGAGCGCAGCCACTGGGGCCCTCGGTAGGGCTCCGTATGCGGCCACGAGGCGTGTAAGGTGTTTGCCGATATGGGCGCGGTGGTGCCATGCGAGCGAAGCCACTGGGGCCGTCGGTGGAGCTCCTGATGGGGCCCACGAGGCGTGTGAGGGGTGTGCTGGCCTGGGTGCGGTGGTGCCATGCGAACGCAGTCACTGGGGCCCATCGGTGGCACTCGTTGTGGGGCCACGAAGCGTGTGAGGGGTGTGCCGAAATCGGCGCGGCGAGAGCAGCCACTGGGGCCCTCGGTGGAATTCCTTTTGTGGCCACGAGACGTGTGAGGGGTTCGCCTAAATTTACGCGGTGGTGCCATGCGAACGCAGCCAATGAGGCCTTCGGTGGTGCTCCCCATGGGGCCGGGAAACTTGTGAGGGGTGTGCCGAAATGAAGGCGGTGGCGCCATGCGAGTGGAGCTCCCTATGGGGCCACAGAGCGTGCGAGGGGTGTGTCGACATGGTTGGTTGATGCGGAGGACAGAAGCAGATGAGGAAGGATTGGGAGGTTGGAGGGCGGGAGGAGGTGACGCGGGGCGTTGTCTCTTCAAAACGATGGCCCAACACCACACGATGGTTGGGAAAGACACGGTTTGATGTCCACGATGGGTAGCATTCGTTTGGGGTATCCACATTTGGGATGGTTGTGGACACGGGACCGTTATAGCATAGTTGTTCTTCATCTGAAATGCGCAGGGGCGGGCATGCAGATCATATCTTCTTGCGGTCCCTCGTGAACACGCCATCAGGGGGTCAGCTCGTCTTCGCACCGAGGACTCAGTCAGGCTGGTCTGGGGGCTCGAGGGCGTCGTGAATCTGGCATCTGCTAGGTGTTCGGATCGCTCCGCAGACAGCTTTAAGGCAGAGGTGAGTGGCTGGCACGTGCCAAATGTCTTATTGGTGGAGTGTTTTCAAGACATCGTGATATCCCACTTGTTCTTTTGATATTTGCCATTGCGCTCTGAGAGTGGAGGTTACAAAGTCTTGGTGGATAGCTACAGAAGGGCGCACTTTCCAGCGGGATCCCTGCATCATTGTCAAGGCTAGCCTGCGGATTGCTCTCTCTGCTCCTTTGCACGGCCTGTATCTTGAAGGCCTTACGGCTGGTGCCGCGGACCCTAGAACAAGACCCCGATTTTATGAACAGTTCGCAGCCGGGGGTGTTCGGGCAGCTTGGGGTCAGTCGCCCCCACGAGTTCCCCTGAAACCCCACGATGTTCCCAAGCAGCGCACGACGAGGAGCACAGCGTGGCCGGTGGACTGACACGGCGACGAGTGCGGCCTGCACGTCGGGGGTGCCCGGAGGCTGCCCGGCGCCGCCCAAGGGGCAGGCTCTGCCAGGGGTCGAGGGCCCCTCCTCGTCCAGGCCACCCCCCACGGGTGCGCGAAGACAATCTCGCCTCGCGCGCCGTGGGCCGAGCCTCAGAGGAGGAAAAGGTGCCCATGCCTCCTCTACTTGGCGGCCCTCGTCGCCACCGCTGGCTTCGCCTCGACATCCTGGCCAGAACGCACCGGGGAGAGGTCCGGGGAGTGGCGGTATCGGTACCTGCTGGTGTCACCAGAAGCCGTGCCATGACGGAGGAGGAGCAGGAGGAGGAGGAGGAGGAGGAGGAGGAGGAGGAGGAGGAGGAGGAGGAGGAGGCGGAGGAGGAGGAGGAGAGGAGGAGGAGGAGGGAGGAGGAGGAGGAGAGGAAGAGGAGGAGGAGGGAGGGGGAGGAGGAGGAGGGAGAGCAGGAGGAGGAGGAGGATGAGGGAGAGCAGGTGGAGGAGGAGGAGGAGGAGGAGGAGGAGGAGGAGGAGAACGGGGACGTTCTCGAGTCTGGCCGGCGCAGGGCCGTATGGTCAGCAAGGGTGTTGCTTTGCCTCAGGTCCGAGCGTGTTTCCACTGTGTGTATATACGTCGGCCGCGCGAGGACGACGCGCACGCTCGGAACTCTCATCGTATCAGCTCCGTGGCAGGCGCTTTTTCTGGCCACGACGCTCGGGAACCGATGCACAGCGAGATGTTTGGACCAGATGCTCGGATCCGACGTGCGCCTCCAACATCAGCACACAGTACTATGATGTCCCCCTGCGCTCCAGAGTGGGCTTCTGAGAAGGCGGCGGGGCTCGGCTGCTGTGGCACACGCGGGGGGGAATTGTCGGCCGAGGAGGAGGAGGAGGAGGAGGAGGAGGAGGAGGAGGAGGAGGGGGAGGAGGGGGAGGAGGGGGAGGAGGAAGAGGAGGAGGAGGAGGACGAGGAGGAGGAGGTGGAGGAGGAGGAGGAGGAGGAGGAGGAGGAGGAGGATGGGGCTCTCTCAGAAGAGGCCCCGTGACCCAGCGCGCGGCGGCCGGGCTCGGCCGGCGGAGCGACGGAAGAGAACGGGTCGACAGCGCGGATACGCTCAGGAGAGGAACAAAACACACAGACACAATTAATCGTCGATTCCCCGGATAATATTCGAAGATATATGGGAAGTGGGGGGGAAGACAGAAACCCAGAAAATGTAGGAAAATATGGGGAAACGTTTTCTTTGTGTGTATTTTTTGGTGTGTCCTGGGGCCCCTTCATACGCGCGCGTAAATTTTCCAGACCCCCTCGAGTCAGGGAACAGCCGGGGCGGAGGGGTCTCGCTATTTTCGGCCTCCAGGGTTTTTTGTACCGGGCCTCGGGATTGCCAAACACTTCTTCAGGATGAAGACCTGGTCGCGCGGAAAGGGCGGAGATCTGTGGGCGTTCTAGGCCTCCCAGATGATGTCCGAGTAGATGGTGTCGAAGGATCGCCCCGCATCGCCGATGCATCTTCGATGCGGCTCGATGCGGAGCACGATTGCGAAGGCCTTACGGCCGGTGCCGCCGACCCCGAAGGGAGACGACGACGACGACGACAACGGCGGCGGCGGCGGCAATGACGACGACGCTGACGTGGGCCAGAGTCCTCCAGGTTGCTTCTCGGGGTCTCTTCGGAAGTCTCTCGGGAGCCTCTGGGGAGGAATTTTGGGGCCTCTTGGAGCCTCGTGGGGGCCTCTTGGGAGCCCCATTGGGGGCCTTTTCGGCCTTCCTGTGGACTTCTTGTGGGCCTCTTGGGGCCTCTTGCGAACCTCTTGTGGTCTACCGGGAGCCTCGTGGGCTACTGGGAGCCTCTTGGGGCCGAGGGCTCGATCTGGGCGAGTGCCCCGTCTGGGCACGCTGTTGGAGCCGTTTTGGGGGCTTCTTGGGCCGTCTTGGAGGCGTCTTGGGCTGTCTTGGGGTCCTCTTTGGCTGTTTTGGGGCCCTCTTGGAGGCCTCTTGAGCCGTCTTGGGGCGATCTTTGGGGCCTCTTTGCAACGTCTTGGTGCAGCGCGACATGGGATAGGCCAGAACGCGCCCAAACCCTGAAAAAAACAACCGGAAATCATTGAGTTTGGCCTCTTGGGGCCCTCTCGGGAGTGTTCTTGCAGTCGTGTTGGGGCGTCTTGGAGGCCTCCTGGGCAGTCTGGAGGGCGTGAAGACGTTTTGGACCGATTGTGTGCCGATGGTGGACCCCCTTGGACCGTCTCGGGGGCATCTTGGTGCATTCTTGGCCTGTCTTGGTCTTTTCTGAGGCCCCCGAGCCCCCAGGGGGGGCTGCGTATTTGACCCCCCCTCTGGGACCCCCTCCAGGACCCCCTCCTGACGGGGGAGGGGTCAAAGGGAAGGGGCTTCCCTTCGACTCGATTTTGACAGTGCTAGATTTTTCTCTCTGACAAGCTTGAGGAGGAGGGTGCAGGTAAGAGGACGACGGAGACGACGACTGACAGAGACGACGACTCGAACAGACAAGCCCCTCACACACGCCGACAGGGCCGGCGGATTTGCTTCGCGGCAACGTCGCCGATGAATCGAATCAAACGCAAATCATCACAACAACTAGACTGCTTGGCTCTCCACCCCGTGGCAAGCCAGTCGAGATGCTCCCGCCTCTTGGGCGTGAGATGGGCTTCCGTCCCGAGGCGAGGCTCGCCTCTCGAGCCCTCAGCGTCAGGCTCCTATATGCCGCCACGCTGGTTCCGGGCAGGCTGTGCTGTCCGGCGGAAGGGGACGAGGAGGGGAGAAGCAGGCAGACGACGACGAACGCCCAGGCGGGAGGCCAGGGCCGGCGGGGCGGGCGGGCAGGCAGAAGACGGGCCAGGCGGAGACAGCAGGCAGGGAGCAGGAGGAAAGGAAAGGGAGGGAAGCAACGAGCAGAAGCGAAGGGAGGGGGAGGAGGGGGAGGAGGACAAGGAGGACAGAAAGCAGCGGCCGCAAGCAGACAGGCCGGGCCAGGGGCCGGGAGAGAAGAGCCGCCCGCGACGAGGCTGCGGACCCTACGGCGGCGACCTGGGCGGGGTGGCCGCCCGAACCCAGCGCGATGCGGCTTGGTGGGGGTTGCCCTCTGCGGGATCCATCCACCGCCCCGCTGGGGAAAGGCCGGGCGGCGCGTGGGAGGGGTCGCCGGCGCGACGTTGGCGAAAGGGCGAGGGGGGCGCCCGCGCTGCCCAGCAAGGGCGGGGGGGGGGGGCGGGGGGCGCTAGGCAGCGCAGGGGGCACCTCACACGGCGTCTGCCGTGGAGGCCGCCGTGGCCGCGGCCAGGCGGGCCGCTGCCACCCCCGCCCCTCCAGACAGGGTCTGAAGGCGCCGCAACACCGCCCGCGCGTTCCCCCTGTGCAGGGAGACGGAAAGTCGCTGGGCATGTTGGTCCGCAACAAGTGCGGCGTCTTCCCCCGTGGCGTCAGCCACCCGCTTGGCCAGGACCCCGAAGGCCCTGCGTGCCTCGCGGCCCCGCCCGCCGCCGTGGGCTTCCACCACCACGGGGAGGAAAGTGAAGCCCTGTGCCGCGCAGAGCCGCGCGGTGTCCTGGTGCTGCCTTTTGAACTCCTCGTACCGCTCCGTCGCTGCGCTTGACGAAGCGGCCGACGCGGCGAGGAGATCGGCGCGCAACCCTGACGCGGCGGCAAAGTCCCAGGCGGCCGCCGTGCCGTTGCGCCACCGCAGCAGGTAGACGTCGGCAGGGCGGCGGCCGTTGTCGTCCACCTGGGACCCGCCCTGCTCGCCCCCGGGGGTGGCCTCCCCGGCGGGGCGCGCGGGTGGCAGCCCCGGGCGCTCCAACTCCGCCCCGGCGTGGCCAGCGGCCAGGGCGTCGAAGAAGGCCTGGTTGCGCAGGGCGTTGTGGCGTTTGGTCCGGTCGCCGTGGCAGGCGCAGACCAGGGCGTGGTCGCAGAAAACGCCCATCACCTCGCCACAGGCTGGGCAGAAGCACTCCTCCTGCAGGAGCTGGACTCGCAGCCGCCTCTGCAGGCCGACCTGCATGAGGCCGTGCGGGAAGGCGGTGCCGGTGGCCTCGCAGGGCGGCGCCTGGAGCCACGCGGCCGCGCCTGGGGCTTGCACCAGAGAGAGGTGCGCCTTGCCGGCCAGGGTGGGGCCCGCCAGAAGTCCGTCGAGCGAGGCGCTGTCCACCGCGTCGGAGAGGGCCTTCTGGTTGCCGTGCTGCGCGTGGTCGAACACCACCCGGTCGGCGTCCCGCACGACTGCGTTGTGGGCCTGCACCGCAGCCGCCAGGCTACCTCCGTCGCGGTCGGGGTTGTTGGAGTAGCCGGGGTAGAGCTGCCGACAGAGGTCGGTGCTCCTCGCTCTGGAAGCGATGTAGGCGGCGGCGGCGTGCTTCGCGGCAGAGCGCAGGCCAAGTCCTCCCTTCCTGAGCTTTAGCTGAGCCTGCTGCCAAGAAGCGTCGGAGGGCGAGCAGCCGCTCAGTTGCTCAAGGCAGGCCCGGACAGCGCCGTCCATGGCCAGCAGGGAGGCGGCGTGCGCGGTGGGCGGCATCACGCGCGCGGAGTAGCCCAGCTTGCAGAAGGAGGCGCGCTGGCGCAGGAGGTGCAGCGCGACCTGCGCGTTTTCGAGCTCCCCCAGAGCTTCCAGCAAGTCGGTGGCGCTCGCGACCCGCTGCTTGGCGTGCTCCGCGCAGAAGTCCGCGTCTCCCACTGGCGCGCCGAGCAGCTCGAAGCTGCGATCGGTGCGGAGGCGGAAGCCCGGCGGGAAGCCTTCCAGAGACACGTCGGAGGCGTCT